TGATGTAATTATTATAATCTTAAAAAATAAAATTCTTATTATTAAAAGTATCTATTTAGTTGTTATGGAATGAATAAACATATAAATAAAAGGGGCTGGGGACAGCCCAGACTCCAAAAGATAAGAGATATTTTGAATGGTGCATTAAAGGTAATTTTCTTTCTTCCTCTTGTTCTTGCCCACACTTCCATAATTAAACTGTATTTATAACTACTAAAATTTCACTTTTATTTAACAAATATCTTGTGGCTCATATTATGCTTTATCACTAAGTTCTAAGGACCTCAAATCTGGTAAGAGGGTCAGGTGTATTAGACCCTGAAAATAGCATAGGATAAAGTCAGAGACCCCTTTGGTTAAATGGAAGTGGGGTGAAAAATACTCACAAGTGTTGTGATCACAAAGGCTTAGTGGAAACAGAATTTGAACTGGACCTTGAAGGGCAAGCATTTCATAGATCACATTGGGCATGAAACGATGTTCTTTGTGGAGAAAATTCACAAGGAAGGGAAAAGATGGAGGAACATGGCTGTATTTGTGGAACAGCCAAAATTCACATTGTGAAAAAGGAAACGAGACTGAGGCTGAGGGGCAGACAGGAAGGTGTCTTGCCGGCTAGGCTAAAAGGTGTGCTAGGCTGCTGCACCCAATAGCTGGGGGAAGTATTTTACATGGTTCTTTATGTTTGTTCCTCCTAACCGTGCATTTTCAGGAAAACATTATCACTTATATACGAATGATGTAACTGAGAATGAGAAAACTTTACCTTCCAAGGACACAAAGCCAGTGTCCTCTCTGCCCTGTTAAACTTCACACCACAATTGGCCTTGTCACATGTATCAAAACTGCTCACTTTACTCTACAACCCATACTATTTATGTCAGGGGGGAGAAAAACCATCCTCCAACTAAATTCCATGATAACCAAGTGGCTGATAGGAGACATCTCTTGTAGGCAGCTGGACATAGTGGTTAGAAAAAACCCTTAAAGTGGTGAAGTGGTGATATTAACCCAAGCTCTGTTCAACCTTCTCACAATGTGTGGGTGTAAGTGTCCACACTTACAATGTGTCAAATGATAGAAGGCCTCGCCAGATGCCACTTTTTTGATATTAGACATCTCAACATATAGAGTGACTATATTAATGACTTTCCTCTCGTTGTGACAGAACACCTGGCGAAATCAAACAGAGGAAGGAAGGCTCATTTTGGTTCAGGGTTTGAGTGGACCGTCCATTGTGATAGGAGGGCACTGAGGAGCAATGGTGGAAAGCTTGTTATATTGAGTTCACAGTCAGTCAACAGAGGGTCACCAATGCTGCTGCTCATCTGATTTTCTTCAATTTTATTCAGTCTTGGACCTGACCAATGGACGGTGTCACTCACGTGCCTTGCAGGTCTTCTTTCCTCAGTCAGACCTCTCTGGAAATACACTCAACTCACAGACACACCCTAAAGTGTGTCTCCTACATGATTGTAAACCTAGTCAATTTGACAGCAAGCCACTGCAGCCACTGAATTTGTTCACTGTATACCAGCTTAACCTGTTACAGCAACACTAAACGAACTAAATATCCATGAAGAAAACTCAGCCAGTATTCAGCGTGTCTCGTTATGCAGCCCAGATCTCTGTTCTATAGCTGTGGTACATGGGCCGGGCTATCGAGTTGAGGATTTTCTCACAACTTACCTTTATCCTCATCTCATTTTAGTTCCCACCAAACTTTCAAAAGGTAATGGATGGTGTTGGTATGCTGTGGCAGTCTTATTTGTTCATGCATGTCTGTGTGTGTAGTTTTTAAATACAGATGTCCCTGGCTTTTGACTTGAGATAGTGTAAAGGCAAGATGCGTTCAGAAAACAAACAAACTATACTTCAAATTTTGACATTTGATCATTTTTTTAAGATTAGTGATGCATGGTGTAATTTTTTTTTTTAAAAAAATGATGCTGGGCACTGGTAGTGAGTCATGGCTCTCACTGCCTTGAAGGTGATTTTCTACAATGGATTGTATTGCTAGGGTGTTCAGTAAGGTAAATGAGACATACTTTCAAGTTACAATATTTTCAACCTCTAATCTTTGCTAGGACATGACCATATCATCAGCTGAGAAGCACCTATATTTTGATATAAAGAACCAAGTTTAATTGGAAGTATGACATTCCTAACAATGCCCTCTGGTATTGTGTATCGATGTTGACCAGAGCCAGACACCCAGGGACAGATCAGCTTGGAGAGAACAAATCCAGACTTTAAGGTAACAGACAGTTCTCTCTGGGCCTATTCCCCTGACTGTTATCAGCTAGGAGGCATATTCTTGGAAAGAATGTATTTTTTTTTTTTTCTCTTCAGAAGATTTCCTCTTCTAACCTCAGATTCAGAGTTAAATGATGTAGCTTACATGTGAACTCAAACTTGGTGGTTTCTTGAGATTAGGAAAACGACAAGCATGTCCTCAATTGCTCATATAAGTTGGCCTCCGGGTGTTTGGAAGAAGCCCTGCTTTTCTGCTTGGCTTACATGGTGCCAATGGAGACTGCATTTGGGAGGGATTTTTGTTTCAAGTGTACAGGAGAGGAGATGCAGTGGAAGGAAAAAGAGATTCATTGCTCTTGCTTTCAGGAAATACTGAGGGGGGTTGTCAGCCCCTTGTGAATTCCATCATTTGAGCAATGTTCTGGAAAATGTCAGAGCCACTCCCAACTTGCAGGCCTCAGTTACTAGGTCCCGCCTTTACAGCTCTTTGCCAGGAGGGTGGCTGTACTGGTTGGGTTTTGGCAACTTGACCCAAACCTAGACATAGCAGGGAAGAGGGCATCTTAGTTGAGAAGATGCCTCTGTAGGCTGGTCTGTAGGGCGTTTTCTGGATTAAAGATTGATGTGGGAGGGCCCAGTCCACTATGGGTAGTATTGCCCCATGTCAGGTGATTCTAGGGTATATAAGGAAGCAAACTAAACAAGCCAGTGAACAGCCTCAGCTCCTGCCTCCAGGTTCCTACCTTAATTTCTTGCCCTGACTTCCCTGGGTGATGGGCTGTGAAGCAGAAGAATATGCCAAATGAACTCCATTCTCCCCAAGTTGGTCTTGGTCAGTGTTTTATCATAACAATAGAAAGCAAACTAGGTCTGTGGCTCAGTTGCTTCCTTTAGGTCTAAGTCTTTCCCTCTTTCCCTCTGTCTCACCCACAGACCCCGTAATTACCATGCACAGTTTCTTTGTCAGACTTGCTTTAAAGGGAAACCAACTTTCCCACTTTGCATTTATATAATTGATTTAATGAAATAGGAGCTCCCATGATTCTTTAGGAAGCGTGTGGCTGCTTTAATACACATCTACATGCACTATTGGTTACTAAGGTGGTTTCTAAGAATGTCCAGATACATTTAGCTATTCAGTCTTGGATAAATTCTGTCTTATTGTAATATGCTTTTGACCTGCAAAGCGTATCTGTAGAATAAAAAATATTTATGCATTTATATATTATAAACCTTGAAACAATCCAGTTTATACATGTGGTATATAAGGAGGTGTAGGAGAGACAGAGAAATTAGTACATAAAGTTTTTATTTAAACTTTTCCCCCTTCCAAGCAAGCTTCATTTACATTCTAGTACTGTACAAAATTTACATTTTCTGTGAATTTTTATTCACTTTTCACTTTCTAGAAGTTTGTATTTCTCTGAAATACAGAAAACTTTGCTTAGAGTTCTCATAAATGCTTTTATTTAATTTGGCTAGTGATAAAAAATAAAGCGAAGAGTAAATCCAAGGATAGCCGAAACCCTTGTATAAACAGCAACTTTTGGAAGAAATGGTGATGGCTAAGAATATGGTTTCTGAAACAGCACATGACCTTCAGAATGCCAGTGGGTGTTTCCCATATTCTTACTGCCTTTCTTTATATATTCGTACATCTTCAAGAGGGAAAAAATGAAAGCTGATTGCACTGGCTATGTATATATATATATATATATATATTCATATATATATTTTTTACAACGGATCCTTTGGATCTGAACATACAAATAAATACAAAAACAACAAAGATTGCACTTTCCTGTAGAAACATTGTTGGATTCTGGTATACCCAGCCATCTTGAGGTGCTTGTGAAAGCTCACCTTGAAGGCGTTCATTCTCCTCTGTGGCTTCCATTACTTGACATTTTGAGTATTACATCTGTTTAAGGGTTCAACAATTCTTTGAGATTAAAAAAAATATATTTAGGCATCTGTAAGTGCCAGTTGTTGGTCAGACTTAGATGTGTTCCTGTTTGTTTTGTTTTTCTGATTGGCCACAAAGAGACCTGGTCTGTTTGAGTCCCTAGAGACCAGTGTCAATTCTCATTTAATCCAGTCCAGGCATCTCTGTCTAGTGATGAGTGCAGGGATAATGAGAATGGAATGTCTAAAGCCAGCTCAAGGTGAGGAAGTGTACTGTCAGGATTGGCTATGGGCTAGTAAGCTTTTTAATAATTATTTTAAGACATTTAATTGTTTCACTTTCACATGTACAAGTGTGTTTTGTTTGTAAGTGTGTACGTGCCCTGCATGCGTACCTGGTGTGATGGGTACCCTGGAACTGGAGTTACGGTTGGTTGTGAGCTGCTACGTGGGTGCTGAGAAGCAAACCCAGGTCCTCTGCCTGAAAACCAAATGCTCCCTAAACCACGGAGCCATTTCTTGAGCTATAAGTCATGTGTTTTGAAAACCAGAAAGATAACTGGGGTTGTACTCAAGAGAAAATTTTCCTTGTGTGCCCACATTCCTGAAAGGGATTTGTCAGCTTTTATTATGGATTAAATTTGAGACAAACTGTTATCCGACAGAATTTCTGAAATATCCTGTGATGGAGTTTGTAGGTCTTATCTTTCGAGGCAAATTGTCCTGATGTTCACTTTGTGGAGAGCTATGAGAAATGAGGCGGCACATGCTTCTGGAGCTGAAGAGTGACAGACCGTGCTTTGTTTTCATGGAGAATCAAAGCCATGGAATGAGGATTGTGGCAGAGAACCAGCTGCCCAAGAGACAACTTTCTTTCCTCTCATCTCCGGGGAGCTGGAAGGAATACAAACTATGATGGTGTAGAAACAAAGATGCCCATCTTCCATCTCCTGTGGGTTTTGGTTACTGTGTTACCTATGGAGTTGGTGAAGAAGCCAAGCGCTACACATACAGAATCAAGAGGCAATTTCTGGAATGCAGGGTAATCATTCTGGTGGGTCAGATTTGGAATCATTCCTATACAAAATAGCCTCCAAATGTCAACGTCTATCACATGCAGTTAGGACACAATGCACAATACTGATCTCAAGTCTCTGGGGCCAGTTTTCTATGGTTTACCTTCTCTCTCTGAAAGTTCAGCTCCATGTGAGTTTGTATAAAGGTAGAACAAGTTGAAACCAGTTTGATATGGAAGATTCTGTCACCACAGTAAGTTGAGTGTGACCTGAGCTGCAGATGACAGTCTCTGCTCAAGAACAGGTCTCTCTCCTCTGGAGTTACTTATAAGTCAGAACGCAAAGGTGGCTTTTGGCAGTTGTACCACTGGAATGCATGGTTCATGCAGGACAGCAGCGTCCCCTGTCACTGCATCCTAGATCTGACATTGTGCCAGGGTATCCTGCTGTTATTTATTGTAGGGTACACAGGCTGGTAGGATGACTGTTGCACAGGCTGGGCCTGCCAGGGGTTCAGCCACATCGCCTTCCAGTTCAGTCCACGTTCCCTTTTCTGGACAATAGCAGATTGTAGAGGACTTGTAGGCACCCTGGAATGGCAGAGCAGGGATTACTCAGAGCAGCAATAGTCATGCCACTCTTCACAGCACCACTGGGCTCAGTGGATGATGAGAAATGTCATTCTGTAACTATGTTTCTCTTATTGGTTAATGAATAAAGCACTGTTGGCCAATAGGAAAGCAAGATAGGTGGGACTAGGAGACTAGAAGGAGAGAGGAAGTAGTAGGGAGGAGATTCAACATGGAGGAAAGAGAGCAGAACACTAGCCCCTCTCTCTGGTAAGATGAGACCATGTAGAAATACTTAGATTAATAGAAATGGGTTAATAATTAAGACAGAGCTAGCCCATAACAAACTAGTAACTGGCCTACAGCTTTATATCTAATACAGTGTCTCTCTGTGTTAGTTGGGGCTGACAAGGCAGTGAGACCAGACGGGCAAGGAAAACCTACTCCTAACACAATGGGTTTTAAACTGTTGGGTTTCTAGGAAATATTTGAAACTGACATTTCAAAATCTTGTAGGTTATGTGTGTGCATGTGTGTGTTCAGGAGCATGTGTGTGTGTGTGTGTGTGTGTGTGTGTGTGTGTGTGCAAGTGAGCATGCTTGCATGAGCATGTTGTGTGGAACTGGGACAAACTCTAGAGTTACTTCAGTCAAATGAAGCAGGATCTCTCCTAGGCGTGGAACTTGCAAGCAAGCTAATGTCTACCTCATCTACCTTCCCAACGCTTAAACTAAAATCGCAAACCATCACATCTGGACTTTGTATTTTTATGAGGGTCCTGGAGACTAAACTGAGGTCCTCGTGCAGACAAAGATAGGGCTTTACTGACCAAGCTGCCTCCCTAGCCCTTGTGGAATATTTTTGACAGCTAATGATCAAACTCAAATAAATACCTAGAGCATCTTTAATAGTCAATGATCACCTTCCAATTGGCTGGGAAATGGAAGTTTAAAGTAAAAATAGACAGACATTATTATTTAAATGGTTTCTTTGTTTTTATTTATTTTTTTACTGTGGAGAATGGGAGCCAGGACAGCGAGCCATTTCAGTGTAGACTGAAAATATCTCCACATACTGATTTATTTATTTTTAAGAGGCCACACAGGAAGTACACACTGGCTTTAATTTTAGTGCCTTTGTCAACTTTAAGGCTCATGATTGAGTAAAAATTTCCTTCTCAAATTAAAGCATAGGAAACAAATAAAAACCTCAAGAAAACTAATGGCATTTTCTGAACATATGTTCTTGGTGTCTGCCTGAATGCAGCTTTTCTCTTGTTGTGAACGATTTGCTGCAGACATCAGACACGTGTGTGAAAATCTAAGTTTCTCTGTCCACTTACTTTTGCCTTTATATAATTAGCCTTTTAATGTTCCTTAAAACTTTGTATCATAAGCTGGTTGAATACAAAGTAAATAAAACTAACGTTACTAAAACTCCAAGTCATCATAGTGAGGATAATGAAATTGACCCCTAGGCCTGAGGTCTCTCTTCATTTGAAGTAATCTAAACACATAGTCTCCTTTTCAAGATTTTTTATCTTTTCTTATTGTATGAAAAAATAGTATAAACCCAATTAAAAATATGAATAAGTAATAAAGAGCTTGAACCTAACCAATTCCTGACTAACCCAATCAGCTTCAGACTTCCAGTCTGGAGAACTATTTTAAGTGACAACATGTGACAATAGTCCCACCATGTGGGCTATTCTGGGTGACAGATGAGGTTATTTTGTCACCAAGTCAGGGAACACAAAGTGGGACAGAGGAAATGTGCTAGACAGAGAGGGGCCTAGGGGACACAATAACCACATATATGTAAGACTTAGTGGATCATGATGCCAGTGTTTTGTAAGCCAATAGGAAACATTTGAATGTGGATTGGACATAAAGCTACTATTGTTTTTTGGGGGTGTAATAAATGATGGTGTATTTCCATAAAAGAATAACATTTTTAAAAGATAAATACTGAGACCTTTATGGTGAAAGAGGACATTTGGGATTTGCTTCATTTTTTTTTTTCCAGTTAAACTTAAAAGGAAGGGTCTATTGATGAATGGTAACCCTGATGGCAAGGAAAGGAAAGTCTATCAATTTTTGTTTATGTTTGGACATTTTCATGTTGGGATGAGGCGTAAAAAGCATATTCATGCCCTAATTAGAATTCACAGACATTGAACAGTTAAGTTCCATGTCTTGCTCCTTCTGGTCAGAAACCTTTCAGATTCTCCTAGTCAATTTCTGAAGAACATTTGGACAATCATTTCATGTTGGTTTGTAGTTGGAAGCCAGACTTACAAACGCATGGGTTTAGGAGCAAGCTGGAGATGTAACCACTGCTGTGGGATAGTTGATGGGCTAGCAAGCTATTTCTACTGCATCTAGGCCAATTCTGTCTTCCTGCTCACAGTGCTGTGCCGCCTGCACACGGACCTGGTATTCTTAAAGGGTACATGTAGGATGATAGCACATTTGGGGGGGGGGACGAACAGAAGCAAGCTCACAGGAGGAGGAGGAGAGAAACAGACAGAACAAGCACACACGGGAGGAGGAGGAGTCAGACACCGACACGTACCATACTCCAGCTGTAGCCTCCCACCAGATAAATGCTGTCATCGAGCACCGCACAGCCAGGGCCACTTCGACCCTCCAGGATGGGGGTTTGGAGAATATTCCACTGGTCACCTTTTGGGTCATAGCATTCCACAAGCATGACATCAAGATGGGAGAAACCTGGGTGACAGAAAAGGCAAGCATAGAAGAAAAGAGTGACTCCACAGGGCTGGAGCTGAGACCTAAAAGGTTGTAATTTTGAAGATGCAAGTGCATAATTTCATTAGCTAAATTAGGAGACATGTCAGGAACTTCCAAAACAAAACCAAACCAAACAAAACACCAAAAGACTCCAACAGACTTTGGGTGTTTTGGATGAACTCAAATCAAGACTGCCTAAGTAGGTATCACAAGATTGATCACACAGGAGTAGGCCTTATAAATATGATTTATTATAGGGTTAATTTAAAAGATTTAAAACAACAATGGTCAAGACAAATAGCTTTACAGGCATCCATGCCTGTTTTGTTTTTAAAGGTGACATCTGCATGCAGAAGAATGGGTATTAGAACTCAGACTTCTGCAGACTAAACCATATTGTGTTTCTGGAATACTTAACCCTCTCAAAATGAGATTATGCACAATCCAAAAGCTCCTTTCTGCCTTCTTTCTCCTTCCCTACTGCCTCTTGCTTATTCTCCCTATCCACCAGTGCTGCCAAAGGGTCTTTGGTTGTTGGTTTGGTCTCTGTGAGCTTCTATGAGCCCAGGTTAGTTGGTTCTGTGGGACTTCTTGTGATGTGATGCCCTTGACCCCTCTGGCTCCTACAATTCTTCCTCCTTTTCTTCAGCAGGAATTCCCAAGCTCATTCTCAGGCCTAATGTTTGACTGTGGGTCTTATCTGATTCTGCCAGTTGATGAGTGAAGCCATTCGGGTGATTATTGGACTGGGCAATAGTCTATGAGTACAATATAATACTGGTAGGCATCATTATATTGATATATTTCCCTCCAGTTGTGTTTGGTTATATCCTGGATTTCTGGGTTATCTAGGCTCTGGGTCCTAGTCCTTCATGTATTGTAGATGGGCATGAGTCTCAGGTTGGGCCAGTCATTGGTTGGCTACTCCCACAATCTCTGTGTCACCCTTAGCTCAGCACAACCCACAGACAAGACAATTTTCATTCCTGAGAAAGCAGACAGTTTCTTTCAGGCCACTAATTGCTTATACAAAATAGACCAGATGGGTGGTATTACAAAAGAGCAATATGCCCACTGCAAATTTTCTATCTGTTTAAAATGAGCATATGGGAAGATTTCTCGATTCTGGGTTCTAAGGCATTGTTCAGAGGCATGTATACCTTCTCTGTCTATTTTCTGTGATGCTAGGCTGTAAGCCTTGGGCCTTGTGAATGCGAGGCAAACACCACCAACTGAGCTAGAGCCTCAGCCCTTTACTTTGGATGCATGTGTGTCCATGCTCCTGTGTGCACATTCACACTTTTTCTTATTAGACTGCTATTACATGACAGTCTAATATGTTTTGTCCAAACATAATCTTGAAAATAAAAGTCGTTAGGACATATAGATAATGTCTTATGGAAATAAAACGAGAAAAGAAATCACGCTGTGTTTTGAAAGCCACAACAATAGTATAAGACACTGATGCGAGGGAATGGAGAGGGCACTGGGATTGAAAGGAGCAGAGAGAGATTTCTTGTCTGTGGTGGGGGTGGGGAGTGGGCAGGGAACATGGAGACAAGCAGCAGTCACACACTAGAGCATCTTGGCTGAACATGAACTCCAAATGTAGATATAAAAGTTAAGCCCGTGTGATTTTTATTAAATTAATGTGTAAATATGGATTAGAACCCCTTTCCATGTGTAACTACCTTTAGGTTCATATGCTGCAGTAAGGCGAGTGAACACATTGGCTTCGCTATTAATAACACAGATGTGCTTGTTTCTGCTCAGGAACTGGCAGAGATTTTAGAGTTCAATTTAGACCACTGTCTTAATTTTTGACATGAAGAACCTGAGGCCCAAGGTGGATCAGGTAATTTTCAGTACCATGGGTCTGCTTCCCACCAAATATAGTGTCACACACACCCACAAGTTTATAAAGTGCACATAAACTGTAAAAGGTTGTAGTTATAAACATATCCATCCAGGGAAGGAAAAAGCAGCCAAGCAACATATTTTTAAAATGCTTTAAATTAAAAAAAAATCAGTTCAATTTGAGAATCACAGGTCATTTGATATTCAATACTCTAAAGAAATAATTCTAAATTTAGACACCATGGTTTTGCTTTAAGAAAAAATCCAATACATTAGCTCTGTGAACCTGTGAGTATAGTTCTTTACGATTGCAGCAAAAACAAAAAAAAAAAACAAACAAACAAAAAAAAAAAACAATTTTCTGGAGGACAATTCATTACTACCACTTTGGAGATAAGGAATAATTTATTTTCCTGACTTCACTGTTAGGACAAATGGTGCCGTTTCAGATATTAATGGTCTCGTTTCTTCCCCTTAGATGTCATTATTCATTTCTTTAATGTGTATGGTAACTTAAACATAATCCTATCTGCAGAATGCAAACACAATAAATGCTTGCTTCAGGACACTGTTAATTTACACACAGCAGACTGTATTTGGTCAACATGTTTCTTACATAGTTAACTATGATTATCTAACAAGAAATCCCTAAACAAGGAGCATGAGATGCAAATGTTACTGGGATAGGAGCAAAACAAAACAACAACAAAAAACAAACAAGAAAACACCTTTCAAATGATTCCCTCCGATTGCATATAAGCGATCATTCATCACAGCCAAAGTGTGGATGGCACGTTTTGTAGGAGCAGGGAAACAGGAGCTTCCAAAACTCACAGATAGGAGAGTGGGTGTCTGAGTTAGTTTGGGCTGTATAACAAAATTACCACAGGATGAACGACAGACCTTTATGTTTCCATTTGGAGACTGAGAAGATGGAAATGTCAGCAGATGTGGCCAAAGTTTTGTTTATTCTTCAGGAGGCAAGAAGAATTGAGGATGGGGGAGGGAGCATTATTTTTCCTGTCTCCTATTTATAGTTCACTAATTACATCTCTCTCTCTCTCTCACACACACACACACACACACACACCCTTATGACTCGACTCATAGACCCCCACACCCCAAAATATTCATGATAGGAGATAGTTTCACATAGGAATTTTGAAGGTACAAAGATTTAATCCATCTAATGCATTTCCACAAGCCACGGGATTGGATGAGGTTTGTAATAATCTTACCAGACCTGGGAAGCCTCTTAGCTCACATCTAGGTTATATACAAAATTATTCATGTAGTTCCCATAGTGATCAATTGATAAGTGATGGCTATTATTATTATGCAAAAGTTTTAGCCTTGCAAAGCACTAATGTGAAGACAACATCTGGAATTCTGGTGTTTTTTATTGCTTAGAAGCCTTTCATACAGCATATACTGCACTATTTAGAAATCGCCAGAACAGTTAATAATCCCTAAGCAACATTAACAAAAATATAAAACCAGTGGGCTTCTGACACTGATGCTGATTGAGATATTATTCATATATTCAATCTGTCCATTTCCTTAGCAGGCAGTCTTCTCTGTAATGGTAGGTCACGAACCCCAGGATATCAAAGTCACCAATTTTCAATTTGCCCATGGGTCTTCTACTCACTTGCTGTAGTCTATGGGTTTTGAAGCTGCAGTTTCTTTTGTTTTTTTTAAATGACATTCATTTACTTATTTAGTCTGTGTATGTGTGGGGTGACTGCGCGACAGTGTGCACTTGTGGGCATCTGTTCTCTCCTTCCACCTCTGGGGACCCATCCGCCTTGACAGCAGGTCCTCTTACCTCCTGCGCCATCCGACTGCGCGACAGTGTGCACTTGTGGGCATCTGTTCTCTCCTTCCACCTCTGGGGACCCATCCGCCTTGACAGCAGGTCCTCTTACCTCCTGCGCCATCCTACCAGCCTTGCGCCTCTTCCTTCCAGTGACCTGCCACCCACCTGCTTCTACTGGAGTGGCTTTCTAAAGCAAGTCAGACCAGGGTCCCCGTTTCCTGTCCTCCTGACCCCACAAATCGTATCCATAGTTTGTCAATGAATTTTAGCACAGCTTGACATTAATGAGTGATTATTTAGACCCTTTGTATTTAACATTTTTCCTTATTTTACATATCAATCCTAGTTCCCTCTCCCTCCCATCCTCCCATGCCCCCCACCACTGCCAGAACTCTCATAATAGACTGCCCAGTCCTCCTAACTGAGACCCACGTTCAGGGGGTCTGGGTTGCATTTACACCCCTTTCTTTTAAAATTGCAAATGTTACTGGGATAGAAGCAAAACAAAACAACAACAAAAAACAAACAAGAAAACACCTTTCAAATGATTCCCTCCGATTGCATATAAGCGATCATTCATCACAGCCAAAGTGTGGATGGCACGTTTTGTGTTCATGTCTTGTTTTCGGGCCCAGACATCCATGACAGGGTCATAGCAATACAACCATGGCACATACTCTCCGTTGTGCACACCCCCTGTGAAAGACAGACATGTCTGGGTCAAGGAAGTGCCTTGAACAACGAACTTTGTAAAGAAACTTGGAGGACTGGCTTGCCTGAAATATATATTTTTCCATTGTGCACTGCTCCTGCATGGGCTGCCAGAGGCTGAGGCAAAGAGGACACGTATCGCCACTCGTTTGTGTCCAGGTTGTAGCACTCCACACTGGACAGGTAGCCGGTTTCATTCCTCCCGCCAATCACGTATAAATGCTTGTCCAAGCGGCATGCGTAGAAACTGGCTCTTCTGCAATGAAAACAATGGCTCTCAGTAAATTTGAGGAAAGTCACTTTTGCAATGGGGTAAGGGGTACTCAATCAGCCTGTGAAAGGGGGTATGTCTCCAGAGAGGGCTGCAAACCTTTGACCCATACTGATCTGCCTTCTAAATCCAAGGTCCTATGCATGACCCACCCAGTTAGCACTTGTGATGTTGAGATGCTAAGGAAGGAAGGAGAAACTCACTAATGCTTTGTGTCTGAGCTTTTCCTCTTGCTTTTTATACACTGCTAAAATGTTCATTAACTTTGGGGGTGTTTGGTACTTCTAAGGATATCATAGTTCAGTAAGACAAAGTGAAAAATGAGGCAGATAATGTAACAATAATAAATTATCTTGACATTCACTTTCTTTATGGTCCTTCAAGGGTCATTGTTCCCAATTTATTAGAAAACTGCATCATCAAAATTTCTCTTCAATTATCATTTTTCCCCTCCTAGTACGACTGCAAATAGAACAACTTCTGTGAACTTTGTATAGTGTTTCTATGTATTTGACTTTTAACAGATATGTTTGGCTCTTCTAATACCAGCTAAAGGAATTTCATCCAGGGAGCTTTTGGTATTGATTCTAATAAGGTTTCTGAATGGTTTTAGTTCTCTGTTCAGGACAGGCTATTGGCAGTGTTTGATGCTCTACTTTCAAAGGAAAAGTATATGAGGTTCATTGAAAGGGTAGGTGACCAATTTTGAGGCAGGACATGATTTAGGAAGGAGATGTTGAAAAACTGAATTTAGACTTCCAGTAGAAGAAATGGAAAGAAGTGAAATTGAAACTATGTTAATAGAAGAAAATGGAAGCCATAACTAGTAAGACATGAGAAGTAAGAAATATGAAAGGCTCATAGGTCTAGACATGCAGAGCTTCACAGAGCTGGTCCACTGACTCCTTCCACTTGAATAAACAGATTCCAATTGCTTTCTAATGAATATGATCTGTCAAAATTATTTAATGCTCTTTTCTTTTCAACTTAGAATGCATCATTGAAAAGAACGACATGGGCCTTCAACATCCATACATCTCGTGTCATCATGGACACAGGGAGTTCAGTGTACTTCTTCCAGATGGTTCTGAGATAGGTTTTGGAGGTCTCCGAGAGGATCATTTAGTGATTGCACTGGAGTCATCAGTGTGGACTTGGACTACTGATTGTACGTAGGGATGGCGAGGCCTTCTCAGGAGGTGACAACCATGATGGATATTGAGATAGTGATGAACAGGGGCAACACTGGCTTTAGCAGTGTGAACTCTGCTTGTCTCCATTCCGGTTTTCTCATTTTGCTCTGATCTGGTTCCTTGCTCTCTGACACCGCATCAGCCTGTCAGAACTGGTTTCTGTTTCAGGCAGTTGACTCCCTCTCATGATCCACCTGTACTCCACAGTGGATTTAAGGATCCACATTGGAAAGAATCAGCAGGTTTCACTTCCTGAGTCTAAATGCTGTTTGGGGGGAGAAATTCCTACAGTGATGATGGTGAATAACGCAGACTCCCTCTCAGGGCCAACTCCTGTGTTCCTGAAATGCATCATAGAACAAGGGCTTGGTGGTGTGTCAACACTGTGTACCTTCTATAAGCCTATAAGCTCAGATTTTTTTTTTTTACCAGACCAGATTCACCTCTTCAATCCACAGAAAGGATGTATTTGACTTCTGCTGTATGTCCAACTCCTTGATGAGCAAAGAGACAAAGAGGGCACTCTGCAGCCTTAGTAGACACTCCCCACTCCCGGAAGATCTGATTAGGTAAAATAACCTAGGAATGTGTTCCCAGCTTTGTAAGGGTGATTTACCCCTGAGCTGACTTACAACACATTTCTCTTATTCTCAATCAGTCTGATAACTTCTTCGCACAAGAATGTCTGAGCCATTTGGCAGGAGAATAATAGGAACAGGTGGATGAGGAACTTCTGGTTTGATTCATGATCTATGTCTTATAAAATTAACTTAAATGTTTCAATAAGTATCTCTGATCTTGAGTTTCTCATCTATCTTGGGTTTCTCCCTGCTATGTTTAACCATCACTGAGAGCACCAGTGGCCACCAGTATTTTGAATGGAAGCCTGGCAATGGCAGAAGGCACACTTCATTTGAGTGGTGGACAGTTGCCTGCATCAGCCATCCTACAGGGGAGGTGGCACTAGAAGGCCACTGGGTGAGGTCTGTGGTTTCTTACTCCACTCGAGAAGAAGTCATTTGCTGTATTGGGTTGATTGTTCTAAATCTTAAAACAAAAAAGAAAGAAAGAAAACTTCTTTTACTGACGACCTGACATGATATACCATAATGACTTCCAGAGAAACGCTAAACAGTCCATCCTGTCAACGGTGGCTGCCAGGCAGCAACAGAGCATGGCAGGTCTTTTTGTCAGGTCAATGAGCTGCTAAAAATTGTCTAAGTAGGACCTTGCCATGATAGGCCACCCTGCCTCAGAGGAAGTCATTATAGACTATCAAGTAAACAATACGCATTCTAAAAAAAATTACTAATTAGGTTTTGTAGCAATACTTTCCATCCTTAGGGGCTGTATAGTGAGATAATTGACCACAACGTGAGTTATGCCTCCCAAGCTGAAGGCAGGAAGGTTAATTACTGTGATATTCAGCCCCCCAGGAAAGGGGACAGTGGAGATGAGAGAGTGACATCTCAAACATGTGTTGGCAAATCCTTTGTAAACAAAACTTTCTAGAAGATGGTTTTGATAAAAGGGCAAAGTAAGACAGTTACAGTAACAGTCACCAGAAGCTCATCCCCAAAAGAAAGGGATGGAGTGCTCCAGAGAAAGACAGCGGGAGACTTGTGGCTCGGGAAATTTGTTAAGATGTTGATTGACTTGGCAATATGTCTTGAGGTACAGTGGAGAGAGCGAGAGATTTTCTTAAATGAGCTCATGGTGCTTAATATACTGTCTGAACATTCCCAGCTTATATTGTCTCTTCAAAAAGTCTTATTTTTTTATCTTATTATTTTGGAGGGTTATTTACATATTTGCAACAGGGTCTCACAGGACAGCTCAGGGCTGGCCTCTAAGTCATTATTTTCCTGCTTCAGGCTTCTGAGTGCTGGGGTTCTAAAGTGCGTCTGTGCCCGTCTAAAAGAGTTTTAACTCATTTATGTGGGGTGGGAAAATACTGAGCTTCTTAATACACTTAAATAGTCTCATGCTGTACAAATACCCATTTTGAAATATATGCTATTTCATGAAATAGCTTTTAACATGAAATTTATGCTAAGGATATAGTTTGATCTCACTACAATCTACTTGAATGATAAAACAGTTGTGAAGGGAGTTCATTTTCTGAACAGGAAAGAAAAAAAAACATAGCTGATTGCTTCTCTAATTCTTGATGACGATGAGGAAATAAGTTGTAGTTGATTGTCATTATCTTATTGGACAATTTACTTAAAAGGAGGTCAAAAGAGTCAAGTGCTTAAAATCCTGCATGCATATACATTATCATATGTGTACACAGACATGGCATCATGACTGCATACAGCTAGGAAAAATAAAATACCTATCCATACACTACCCATGTTGTAGCTAAGAGACCAATATACTATGTATGAAAGAATGGAATGGCATTTTTTGTTTTGTTTTGTGGGCAGGGTCTCATATAAGTCTGACTGGCCTAAAGCTTTCTGATTATCAAACTGGGATTATAGGCATGTGCCAGCATGGCCAGCTAGGACTAATTTTTTAAAGCTATAGATGACCTATTCTTTTTTTTTTTTTTTTTTTTTTTTTACATGTCGATTCTAGTTCCCCCTCCCTCCCTCCCTCCCTCTTACTCTCTCTGCCCTCTCACATGCACCCTGACCACCCTCCCCTCCCATCCCCCCACCCCAATTCCATATGTAGGGCAATGCCATCCAGGTGGGGTCATGTAGATCTGACAGGTCATTTGAAGTAGGGACTAGGGCTTCTTTTCTGTTTCTAGGTTAAGGCAGTTATCCCTCCATGGGGGATGTGTTTGCAAGGTCCTTTTATGCACCAGGGATACATCCTGGTTCCACTGTCTGAGGTCCCTTAGACTGCTCAGTCCTTCTGGCTGAGACCCATATTCAGGGGGGCCTGAGTCAGTCCCATGCTGGATTCCCAGCTATCAGAGTGGGGGCCCGTTAGCTCCTCCTTGTTCAGGTCAGCTGTCTCTATGTGCTTCTGCAACCTGGTCTTGTCCTCTCCATCTGCATCTGGGTTCTAGTTCAACTCAGTGTTTAGGTATGGGTATTTGCTTCTGTTTCCAAAAGGTATTAGATGAGGGATCCATGGATAAGTTAGTTGTTGATCTCACTATCCGGGAAGGACCTATTCTTGAAGAGGCACATATAAATGATTTGACTTCTCGCAATATTAAACTTAAATATATATTTACATGTTAAATCTCAAGTTTTTACATTAAATCTAATATTGAATACTTCAATGTTTAATATAAAAGCTTTTGCATTGACATGCAGACCACTATGAGGGTGGCGTTTCATATTTTGAGAACTCAGATACATTGCCATTGATAATAACCATATAACTGGTGGTTAAACAGTCTGTAGAAAAATGTGATCACTAAGGCCAAAGAAGATAAGCTGCATAATTTTTCTTCCTATGTTAGGACAAATAAATGACATATTCTTTCATTTTTCATTGACAAGGTTAGCAATGTAACTTGGGTAAGCCAAGGTTAGTCCTCTGCCTTGTGTCTTTCATGGATCCTGCTCAGTGTTCCTTATCACATAGCACAGATGTGTCTGTGTAGCATTGCTACATGTCACCCACAAAAGAAATGAACACTTACCTTTCCTGCATGGGTGGGAGTTGGATCCAACTATTAAAACGGGGATCATACCGGCTGACAAAATTTGTGCTGTGTTTTCCTGTAGAAACACATTTGAGACATTTAAAACTTAGATCCCTTTATTGATTTGTATACTTATCTGTTTTTAAAATCTTGGTTGTCCAGTGTAACAAGCATGAATTAAGTCAAGGGACCCCCTAGCATGGCATGAAAGGCAGGGAAGCACTTCCTCAAATGTGTCTCCTTTTTCCTCATTCTGTTTATTGTTGTGGAATGACTCAACCCAAACAACCATACTAAAAACAAGTATGTTTGCTAAGCTGCTCTTTTTCATCAGAATGTTAGCATAATTTTTCCTGTGTTTTGATACTTTTATGTTCTAAAACCAAGAAGTTATTGCCTAAAAGTTCTCCACTTTAGAGAATCCCTTGTATGATATCTCTGGTTAGTTTTTTAAAAATAAAATTTCTTTCTAAAAAAATATTAAAACCTATTTTCTAGAAACAACAACAGCAAATTTAAGAAAAATGTAAAGAACCATTTCCCATATACTTAAGCCCCATGCATGCCCAATTCTCCATTATTAACATTTATTTTTACTGACCCAAGAACCTTACTATAGTAGAGACTTTTGTCTACCCATGGAAATAATAGTAGTCATAACAATTGGTCTTGTATCTCGCTTATCATAGAAGTCCTGTGTGTGTGTTTGGGAGCCACATCATGGCTGTGACGTAAACACAAGTGCATTGTCTGGAACCAGAGCAAGCATGACTTCTTCTGAGCTGCTTAGCCAGCTTATTCCCTCTGTTGAGCTTAAAAAGCACATTAGCGCTTCCAAGGTATTAAAATGAATCTTATTTTGCATACATATTGACATCAAAGAGAGAAATGGAAGTGAGAGAGTATACTATTCTTTCTGTGTAGTGTTAGAAGTGGGAACCAACTCTCATCTGAGGCCTCAACCCTAAACATTGCCTTTGCTTATGCTTTGTAACTAGGTACTGGGTACAGAGGTCATCGCAGGAATAAATAGAATGTACACACAAACGAGCTCACATGGCAGAGATATAGTCAAGTTTGAAATCTATTGTACAGGCTTAGCCAAATATCTCCTTTTGTGTAAGAGAAAGTGTATCACTAAGGATGTTTTTTGGCCTGAGGGGTTAGCTGGAAGGTCACACAATTCGTTGGTTTGACAACCAAGCAAGGATTGACTAGAAACTAAGGTGAGAAATTATGAAGTCAGCTTTGCATTTAACCCAGACAAGCCTACAGGATGTCAAAACAATGCAACTGCTAAGCTAGTGGCAGGATAATGTTACCACTGAAGTTTTGGGAGGCATTAGTTCAGAGTTACTATTTAAATGTACAGGACTAGATGGAACCATTTAAGGAAAGAGGATTGGAAGACAAAGAGTCTTAAGAGCAATCTCTGGGGTTGGAAAAAAAATAAAACAACAAAGGACAGCATGGTAATTTGAAAGCCTAGTGTTTGTGAAAGAAGGAACCAAGTAGCCAAGATTCTGAAGTGTGTGTGTGGCCTTGACAAGTGTTGCTTCAGTGTACTGATGTTGGGGAAAGACAGTGGGGATAACTCAGGAGAATTTAAGATAAAAGGACACAGAGGTAAGAAGAGCTTAATGCTCTCAGGACTTCTGGAGCCAATGGAAGACTAAACTAGAAGACACAGCATCAAAGAAGTGTTTTGGCTGCCAGGTGGTGGTTGCGCAAACCTTTAATCCCAGCACTTGGGAGGCAGAGGCAGGCAGATCACTAAGTTTGAGGCCAGCCTATTCTACAGAGGGAGTTCCAGGACAGCCAGGGCTACACAAAGAAACCCTGTGTTGAAACAAAACAAAAGAAGTAGTCATTTTTAATTTTTTTAAAACTCAATAATACTGAAAAGTTCTTGAGCTGGCAAGAAGAACCAAGGACTAGACCTTAGATTTGTATAGAAAGAACAACAAAAGAAAATGGGCTATGTGGTGTCACAGTGGGAATCTGAACTCTCCTCCTAATCTGATGTGTCGAAGGCTTGGTTCTCAACTGGCAGTGTTGTTGGGAGAAGATTGGATCTGAAAGGTGCTGATGTCATCAATGGAAAATTCATTGCTGAGTGGGCTAGTAGTATGTGGAAGGCCGAGAAGTCTGGTCCCTACTTGAAAGGGTGACTGGGAGAATGGTCTTCTCCAAAGATGCCCTGGTTTTGAGTAGAAAGAAAATAGATAAAAACCACTCAAGGGATTCTAGGGATTGTGTGGATGTGGTCAGGAGTTCCTTCCCGTGTGGAAGTGTTGGCAGTTCAGGACAACTGATGATACATTGAATTTTACCTGGTGATCCACAGAAAGATAAGAATTGTAAAGATGACCCCGACACTTCAAATAAGGAGGCTCTAACTCAAGTAAAGACCATGCCAAGAGCTGTTTTTAAAGTGATTTGGGAGGGGGGATAAATTTGTCTTAATTTTTTTTTTTTAGGAAAATTTATTATCTTTGATGCTCACGTTTCGAGGTTAATACTAAGCTGCATGGGAAGGCTAGAAATGGCCAGAGGAGTTAGAGCCCATAAACCGTGAGTAAAGCTGTTTCTCTACCAAGTTTGGCTCAGAATTTCTGTTTGGAAGAAGGAATCTGCCACATCTGGTAATAGGGCAGAGAAGTGGCCTCGTGTGCTGAGCAGCAGAGGCACAATCCAGACATCTTCATTTCTGATAGAGTGCAGGTGGACTTGACTCAGAGGAGAGGCTCAGGGAATCCTGGATTGAAGGGGGTTGAGGTTAGAGAGCATCTCCAGAGGAGGGATGGTGGTGTGAAAGAGGTCCAGGTGGAGGGCCAGGAAGATAAGGATGGAGGTCTGAGGATGCCAGAGGAGATAATGAGCCCTAAGAAACTGAAAGTGAGTGAAAGCAGCTTACTTTTTACTTTCGTGACTTACAGTTTGGACTTCTCTAGGGGCTACATATAATGGAATTTTATTTTACCTCCCTTCCCCTCTTCTCTACCCTCTCCCTATCTTCTCCCTCCCCATTTCCATCCTTTCCTATAATTATCCATCCCTATTTCCTCTCCTTTCCTTTCCTCTCCTCCCCTTCTCTCCCCATCTTCTCTCCCCCCCTCCCCTACCATTTCCCCCTTGCATTCCCAGGTTCTCTCTTTTTTCTTCTCCCTTTCCTTTCCTCGCTTCCCCACTTTCCTCCTTTCCCTTATCTTCCAGTGGGGTCTCAGGAGCAGTCTAGACTGGCCTCAAACCCTGGATCCTCTTCTCCTCTCTCTTTGAGCCAGGACTACAGACTTGCCCCACCACATGGAGGAGGTCTTCCTTTCCTTTCTGACTCTTCCTTCATTTTGCTTCTTATGATGGTGGCCTGACATCAGACACCAGTGATGATTATTAGTATAAATGAAGAAATGGGGGCAGTTTCCAGCCAATGGTGTGGAGGAACAGAGGTGGGAAGGAAAATCCCCTCTAAGTTGTTTGAGGAGTCAGTTGAAGTGGTAAATACAAATCAAGTATCTATATATTCTGATAGCATATATGCATACTAAATACCTTTCAATTGCTAGAATGTGGAATAAGTTGACAGGAAATAATATTTACAAAGTAGCTGAGTAGAAGACTTTGTGTGTATATTGCTTATTGATCCAGTAATTAATGTTTTCTGACCCCCATTTTTGGTTTTGTAATCAAGATCACCAATAAATAAAAATTATATTTCTGCTTGATGAAGTACATCCTTGTGTTTATTAGCATGATCTGGAATTCACAATTTTGTATTTTTCAGGACACACCTCTCATGAACCATTTTGACATGGATTAACATTGAACCTGAGTTCTCATCTTTAGACAAGATATATATGTGCATAACATTTGAACCATATGTTTAATTGGTCTCTCAAATGGCTATTATATGAAAATTCTTTATAACAACATAAGATATATCCTCTGTGTTGGTATTAGTTGCACAGGGCATGGTAATATGAAAATTCCACATTTCTGAGAGGTTCAAATCCATGTTTATAGATGTGGAATCTCTAGAGTTCTTCCTGAACAAGTGAGAGACATTTCCCACTCATACAGCACTTCATACTGTAAAGGGCAAATACTACAGTTTGTTTAAACCACAGTGGACCAGGTCAATGAGAAGTACATATGTGGAAGGCACTGTTATACTGTTGTTATAGATCAAGACTCTGAAATAAGGCAAGTCGGTGCTGGACTCAGTCCTTTCCTTTTGTGAGCAGTGTGTGCCCAGGAAGATAGTCTCCAGGGTTACTCTCCTTCCACAGAAAAACTCAATCTATCATAGATTGTGGCTCACAAGGTGCTTCTGAGGGTTCTGAAATTTCAGCAAACCTTTACTGGCTGAAATATTGAGTGCTTACAAACTGTCACTGCTTCTACTATCAGAGTCTACTGTAGTTGGCCAGTTGAAAAGAATGTGCAGCTACTTACAGAGTATTCATGGAATTGTGGTTGACATAGCACATAGGCCAGGTCCATTACAAGCAGATGCAGCCATTTCTTACTTTTAATGTTGGCTGATCTAGACCACAGACACAGCTCTCACTAACTAGGCTGCTCTTATCTTCCAGCTGGAGAAGATGCCAGCCAATGACTTTTGAGAGAGAGAGAGAGAGAGAGAGAGAGAGAGAGAGAGAGAGAGAGAAAGGTGTGTGTATGTTTTAATTATAATGCATTTTTAATTGACAAGGGGAACCAAAGGCTACCTTACTTGCCGCTGGTATATTCAGTTCCTTTCTGTTTAAAGGAGTCAAATTTCCAACTGGAAGTTTCCAAAATTCTAAAAGGGAATTTTATAGAAAGAGAGTGCTGGCAGGCCTGAAGCTGGGGCAACATTGAAATTAACATACAACTCATAAAGCTCTACTAAATCTTTCTTCTGAGCTCCCTAGTCAGGACGAGACACTGGTCATGATTGGCATGACCAGTGATGCTGATCATGCATGCACACACAAGCACATTGTGCCCTGGCACTCAGGGCTGACAAGAAATTGCCATGTGAATCTCCATGTGATGTACACTGAGGTTCCAGTGAGCAACTCCAGGAGTAAAGTGTGACCGTGGATTAACAGCCTTTCTGCCTGAGTGTGTCCATGCAGGACTTTAATCTGGGTTGCTGTTGGTTCCAGGTGTAGGTAGAGTGAAACCCAGATATTCCAATGGTGAAGTATTGGTTTCTGAATGTATTCAAAGACAAAATCTTGATCCTTTTGACCAGAGATAGGAATAGCCTCTGAATTCTACCCAACTTCTGGCCTAGTTCTCTTGCAAACATTCTTGATTTGAGTTTGAAAAGCAAGCAGATAAGCTATATCTTCTGGCCTATGTCATGGATTAGGTGGTGTGTGTGTGTGCACATATGTGCAGAAGCCAGAGATCAAGCTTGGGTACTGCTCTCTACCTTGTCCTAACACATCTGTTTACTAACCTGGGCTTGAACAGGCTAGATGTGCTGGCTAGTGAGCTCCAGAAACCCACCTGCTTCCAAACCAACCCTCGCACTAGAATCAAAAGCATATACCACCAGACCTAGACTTTTACATGTGTCCTGGGGGTAAAAGTCAGGCCCTCATGCTTGTTCAGCAAACACTTTATCAATCAAGCCATCATGTCAAGTGCCAGGAGCTGTTTTTATCAGTTGCTGATTAGGGTAACATTTGGACTGGGTATGTTGGTACTGCGACAAAGTACTTTCCACATGAACAAGGCCCTGAGTTTAAACCCTGGCACTGAACAAAAAGGGCAGGTGTCATAGCTCATGCCTGCAATACCAGCACTTGGGAAACTGAGGCAGGGAAATCATGAGTTTGAGGGTAGCCTGGGCTGCACAGTGAAATGCTTTTTTTAAATGGAAGACTTATGTATAGAAGGTTTTATGTTTTTCTTTTGTTGAAAGTTTTGTCTTGAAAGCTGAGCTGTGGTGGGGGAGATTGATAGAAGAGTGGCCAAGGAATGCACTGTGGCCTGAATTAGGCCTTCTTAAACTTTTCTTTTCATGCTTTATGGTTAAAAAAAAAAAACACGTGTGTGTGTGTGTGTGTGTGTGTATCTGTATGCACTTGCATGTGGGTATCAAAGAACAACCTTAACTGTTGTTTGTCTGGTATTGTCTACCTTAATTTTCAGGAAGAGTCTCTCACTGGTCTAGACCTTGCCAGGTAGGCTAGATTGACTAACCAGGGATCCCTAGATATCCCACTATCTCGTTATCACAGCCATATTACAGCCTTCCTACCCTTTTTCTTTATTTCTTTATCTAGTTTCTGGGAGTTGAGTCCGGTTCTCACACTTGCATGGCAAACACGTTATTGACTGAGCTGTCTCCCTGGTGTGCTCTCTCTTTCTTAATAGTGGGCAGTCTGGCTTATTTTCCTTTATGATTTTCTAGAGGGAGCAGATGTTGTGATTTGTACACAATTTGCCTTGGTGCAGATGCTGAAAGAGAGTATTCACAAAAAAATACACGCAGTATGTGTAATTTCAGTGGGATGTGCTGGGGTTTTAAAGTAAAAATGTGTACCTGCAAGCTGTTTCATGGCTTCTCAGTCATAATTACCTCTGTAACACGGAAGGCTACAACCATGGCTCCTCCCTCACCTGAAGGCTTTCTAAAAACATCACAATCATTTTGCATATTCTGCAAGACACACTGTCTTGTATTCGGTTTGGGACTGTGTCAAAAGGTTTCATTTCATTTAGGAAGGAACCACAGTTATGGGAAAGATTGTGGACACACTTGTAAAAGCTGCAGAGAGGACAATAGGTGCACTGGGGTTTTTAGTCCTACCTGCTGCAAAAGAACTTGAACCAGAGTTCCGTGCTGCATGAGTGAGAGAGTGCTTATCACAACCTTGTTCTCATATAGACCGAATGGGAGGAGAGTAGTGGGTGAAGATCTGAACAGCTGTAGCTAACTCAGTCTTCCCCTGGGAGTCCTTGCTTCTGTTTGTGGCATCTCTCAGGGGATGGATAAGGACAAGGGCTGGGCATCACTGTGAAGCTATGTCCCCAGAGAATTGGCACTTGAATGCTCTGTTACAGATGTCCTCAGCTAGCTCCATGAGTCTCTTCCCTCCCTCCATCAGCTAACCTCATGACCTCTTCATTTGCCTGTGTTACACCGAAATGTATTTTCAACACTGAATATCAAAGGGATGGATAGTAATCCCTGTGTGTACTCAGCATTTCTGTGGTCTAGTTGAGTGGTTCGCCACCCAAAGCTCATCAGCATGGTAAAGGGTTGTTTCACAAGACGATGGTATTAGCAGATGGGAAGTTTAGGAGGTAAACCTTATGGGAGATCCTAAGTTCATCAGAGCCATGTCTTCAGAAGGTAATGTGGGATCCTGCCCATCCTCTCTCTTTCTCTGCCCCCATTGATGGTATAACTAGTCTTTGCTCATTTCACCATCCACTGACCCCACCAGGACTGAAGTACATAGTTTTGAAGCCCAAAATCTGTAAACTCAACAAACATTTTCTTTTTAAAGTTAATTGCTTCAGATATTTCATGGTAGTAACACAAAGCTGTTGTACAAAGCAGCTACAATTAAAATTGTTCAATAGTTACCATTTGGATTCCATTGGTCCTCTCCACCCAACACGAACAGGAAGTTTTCTACCTCTACAACGCAGTGGTGGGCACTGTTGTAAGGCATAACTAGAATCAAGAACAAAAGGACATATAAAAATTTCCACTACCCCAGCTTAGCAGCTATGTACTTCACCAAAGTGTGCAAAACATGAGACTCCATCAAGAGGCAACAGCATGGCTACCCACAACTCTTATGAGCCACACACCGTGGCTCAGTGGTGTGTTTCCGGCAGTTTCAAGCCCAAGCTCTTTTCATTAATTTTACATAATGATATTCCACAAATTAGTCAAGAACAACCTGCATGCTGCTTTCCATCCGTGAGCTTTCCTCATCTGCCCAATGGCGGGGGACAGGTTTCTATGGCAATGACTGACATTCCTAAATGGTCAGGACTGGCATCTACTTCCTGAGAGAAGTAACTTTGAATAATGTGGAACCATTTGCTGGCAATCTTTCCACAAACAGACCGGGGTGCTTTGTGGCTTTCTACTCCACAGCACTGAGCAGGCTGAATTTCCATACAGTTTTAAGTTTTTAAATTAAGGTCCTGCTGATTTAATGCCTCCTCCAAATGTATATGCTTAATTTCCTGTACAATGTCATTAGCAGCACAATCAAACGTTTTCCATCTATCTGCATCAGAGCTCTTCTGTAACCAAGATGAAAACTGTCAGGGATGTCATGCATATCCATTCTCCTCCACTCTCTCTTTTTTCTGCACCCGGCTGCGCAGGCTGTAAAGAAGGTGTTATTCATAAAGCCACCAAAGCCAGGTTTCTCTGTCATTTGCATCTCCTTTGGAAAGTCACAATGTACTGAGCAGGGCGCTGCTGTCACCTTTGGTGTTGTGTGGTGTTGGTCTCTGCTGGGATAATGTCATAGGGTGATTGTAGATGTATGCAGCATCAGTTATCATATGACATGCAGTGGTGTGGGCCCAGTGACACCAGTAGGAAAAATGATGTCCTTGTTCAGCTCATCATATGGGCACCTTAAATCTAGGTGAGGACAAATGGGGAGGTGAAGTGCCTGTTCAGGCAGGGAACTTATTGCTTGACACGGATCAACAGAGCACTTAAGAAACCAGTGCAGTGGGAAATCAATATGAATCCCAGCCAATTCTTACTCTGAGCTCCTGTGCCAATGTGCAGAGAGAGAGACAGAGAGAGACAGAGAGAGACAGAGAGAGACAGAGAGACAGATTAGAGAAAGAGGGGGAAAGCTCATTGCATACTCATGGGAGAAGGAGAACTTGTCTTATGTCTGACTTATTTTGAGGCTATACATACATCTCATGTGTAATTTTGCTTTAATTATCTCCTAGCCCTCTCAGAGATGACTTAATCTGGCTAATGTGTATAAATAAAAACAGTAAGGACAAGGCATGACTTCGAGGATGAGAACTCAGAAAATAGTTCTGTAAGTGCGCCCTTAAGCTTCTTCCTAAATTACCAAGAGGTTGTAGGAATTCTGATTCATTAGTTAATTAACATTTACTGTGAATATTCATTTCTTCTGAAGTTATAGCCATGGGAGAAAAAGAAAAAGTGTGTGTGTGTGTGTGTGTGTGTGTGTGTATGTCTGATTTAGAGTGTTGAAGGAAAGGGATCTATTGTGGCTTGTGCAGTCTATGAATTACATCAAGGACTTCACCATCTTAAGGATATCTTTAGATCCCCGGTCTTCACTTTCATCTTTGGAGAATGCTCTCGACTTAGATCTTGTTGAGCCATGACTCGGAATTCCTTGGTCTAGGTCTATCGGTTAGGCTCACTGAGCAACAAAGTTTGATTATATTTTGAAGCTGTGTTTTAAAAGACAAATAAATGAAACCACTTCACTTTGGATGAAGATAGTTTTTGTCACCTGCCAGGAAGGTGACTGGGGTACCCCATCTTGTGCCGTGATCGGCTGCTTTAGCTTGATGTAATGTCCTCTGGCCTGTGTGAACTTACATAGCATTAGCGACCATTACATGCATAAGTTATATGTGACATTGTGCAGAAATAGAAGCCAGCAGCTCAGTCACTTGCTCCGTGACCAGGTATCATGCCTCATATACCAACTTTAAAATTTTGATTAGCCCAACTCTTTTCCAGAAATAAGAAATTGGTGTTTTCTTCTCTTTAACCACAGGCCAGCCTCATTATAAAACAAAAACTCTGAAAATGTATCGAAACTTGTGTTTGCACTTGCTGTGTCTTTGTTCTCATTCAGGAAAAAAATTAAGTGAAGGAAATAATACATGATTTATTCTTAAGCCTCTTTCTCATTTGATTACCCCTATTGTTATGCTTTGTATAAACAAATGAAGCTGTTGCTTTAAGCTAACTACTGAACTCCTTAAAAATCAGGGTAAGGTAGTTCTTTAGAGTCGTGGGGGAATGGGTTTAGGATGGTCTCCTTTCTTTTCCACATGTTTTTATTTTTGTTTGATAATCTTGTGTATTATGTTTCTTGGTTGGGCATTTCGGCATTCACATTCTTGAATTATCATTATCCGTTCTGAATTCCTACTGTGAAATGGGAGGCTATAAATAGACACAAATGACTTTTTGAGATTATCGTTGAATGTAAAATGCCCCCAAATTTATTACAAATAAAAATATTTGATCAGTGTTTGAATTTTGAAAGAGCTCTAACTCCTTTGGCTTCTGATTAAACCGGAAGGAAGGCAAAAGTAAATAGGGCAAGGAACAAAAGCCCGCCATCCACTGCAACCCGCACACACCCATTCTCTTTTAGGTCACCCCAAGGCTACCCCTTCTCCTCCCCAGACTTCTGTAGCGGCGGACACCTGTGTGTGTGCACAAGCAGGTGGTGAAGGCGGTTGGCCGTCCGTGTTCGCACACAGCCCGCCCTGAGTTTTTAGCGTGTCAGTCAGTGAGTTAGAGGGAAAGGGGCAGGAGAGCTAATCAGGATGAAATGAGATTAAAGGCTGTCTAATTTTACAGCAACTGTGATCCATCAGCCACTGTGAAAGTGACAGTGGAAATGAATGATGGAGACAGACAGGTGGGGCTGTACATTCCACTGATTTATCCTCAAATGCACTGGGCCCTATTTTATTGAGTGAACACGACCGCATTTATCAAGCCTGTCATCTAAAGCCACTTCCCTCCATTTAAAAAGGTCACTTTACTCGGAGGGAGCAGGAGAGAGGCACTTTCAAATCAGATTTAAAATCGAATAACACATGTTTATAGGACCCTTCACGAGGAGTCTCAACTTTATCTCACACAAACGGGTTGTGCTAGAAGGAAAAATGGGGTAGAAGCCAGAAAATCACGGAAGAAAATGCTCTGGTCACCCGAGGGAGCACTTCAAAGGGTCTCTAAATCTGAGGCAGTTTTTTTTTTTTTTTTTTTTTTTTTTCTTTTCCCATGCCAAGCAGCTGAAGTTCTATTCTGATTGGAGAAATTCAATAAAACGTTTGCTAATATTTAATAATTAAAGTTAAATAGGTAGAAAGCAGCAGGGTGATACTATGAACTTGTAAACGGGGAGAGAGCTAGTCACAGTATTGACCCTACAGAATGACTGATCATCAGAGGTAAAACAGATGTCAGCGATTGCTACAAGCTGGATCTCTGCTACAATGAACTCCTATACCTGATAATTGTTTTCCCACGATTTTAAAGCCATGTAAATCTCAGCCACGCAGTATCCCCCCTCCCTGGACCACTGCAATAAAATGCTTCGGGATGCTGTGCACAAACTTGTACATGGTTGAGAAATGAACACTGCACACTCATTGTGTAATGTGTTGCTTTTTTGTGATAATAACCACTTACCACTGACCATGTGCCTCATATTAAATTGAATACATAATTATGTTTGTGTGTTTACTGGCATTATATCTCTGATAATATGTATGCTTAGCTCTTGATATTTATTTGTCTCCATTTGGCAAAAAAAAAAAATTCAGATGTATTGATGGATTCATGATGTTATAAAGTATGGTAAAAATTGACAGTAAAACAGATAATATCTCTATGTATATCTATTTGCATGTTTTATTTTAGAAGTTGAGCTGTGGATCAGACATTACTTGGCCACCTTATTTCTAAGAGGAATACCGAGGCCTTGGGAGGTTAACTCACTTGTTGAAGGTCATACTCAGCTAATGAATACCACAGCTCTACTGCAAACATGGGAACGTCTGGACCCCGACCCACGCTCTTATGCATTTCACTGTACTGACTTTCAATAGGTGTGTTCAGCCAACCAGAAAATAATTACTGAGTACCTGAGTGTTCAATGACAGTGTCCCTGAAATTCATATATAATTTTTATACTGCATCATACTTTAAATGTGCTTATTACTTAGATTTTTTTTAAAATGCAAGTACTACTTTAAATTTTTCCCATATATATACAAATTTTAAAAAGACTTGTTTTCTTTAAGATTTTCTTTTTTATTAGCATGGACGCAGTGTACAAAGTGAATTGTCCTTATCATGCTTTTCCATGCACATAGTGTATTTGGATCCTAGTCATGCACTGTACTTTCTTAAATAGCCCCCCATTTTACTTTAATGCCAGTTAAAGTACATACCCTCCCTGTATTCAATATATGAGAGAAAACACATGACAGTTGTTTTGTGAGTCTGGCCTCTTTCCCTTAACACAGTGATCTCTGCAGGTGACACAATTTGTTCTTCCTGAGTGAATAAAACTCCACTGTATATATACACTGACTTGTCTAATTGTCAATTAGATTCCATGACTTGGCTATCATTGCATCAGCAAATATGATTGGTGCAGGTGTCTATTTCATGCTGCCTTTGATGGTCTGAGCATGGCTATCCGTAGGTAGTTTGATCTTGTGGGTGTCTTATGAATGAAGAACCCCTTCTGACTTCAAAATGGCTGGGCTAAGTCACATCCTTTTCTTTGGTGTATAATTATCCCTCCCACATTCCCACCCCTTAATCCTAGCACCCTTACTAACATTTGTTGTTTCTTGTTTACTTGGTGACAGCCACTCTGACTGGAGCAAGATAGAATCCCAATTTCATTCTGACTTGTATTTTCCTATTGGCTAAAGTTTGAACATTTTAAA